AGATCACAAGTAGCCAGAGAGGCAGGCGGGGGGTGGGGTGGGGGGGGGAGCAGACTCCCTGCTGAGCAGAGAGACTGATGCGGGACTTGATCCCAGGACCCCAGGACCCCGAGATCATGATCTGAGCCAAAGGCAGAGGCTCAACGCACTGAGCCACCCAGATGCTCTCAGGAAGACATTCTTATGCTCAAGAGCTTTTCAATTGGTGTTGAGCTCTTCACTTTTAAATACTAATGGAAGATTAACCCATCTTTAAGAAAACTCTGAAACATGAAAGACAGAAAACAAAACAAACAAACAAAAAACCCCAAATACTTAGAAAATAAATAGTAAAGGAAGCAGAAACAAAAATATTCATTGGGTTAGAAGGTAAAGATAAGGAAAACACTCAGATAAGAAAACTAGAAGTTCAGTTAAGAAGATCCAACATAGGGGCACCTGGGTGGCTCAATGGGTTAAGCCTCTGCCTTTGACTCAGGTCGTGATCTCAGAGTCCTGGGATCGAGTCCCACATTGGGCTCTGCTCTGCGGAGAGCCTGCTTCCTCCTCTCTCTCTCTGCCTGCCTCTCTGACTACTTGTGATCTCTCTGTCAACTGGATAAATAAATTCTTAAAAAAAAAAAAAAAAAAAAAAAAAAAAAGAAGATCCAACATATAAAAATAGGAGTTCCATAAAATCAGAACAGAAGAAGAAAAGAAAAAAGATATTGTGAAAGAAATAATTCAACAAAATTTCTCAAAAGAGAAAGGTGAGACTGAAGACTGAAGGGACATGCTGAGTATCTAGCACATCTTGGAAAAACTTTTGAACCCTGGGAAACAAAGAAATAATTCTAAATGTTTTTGGAGGGGAAAAATTAAATGCAGGTCACCTACAAAGGATGAGAACTCAGTATGGTATCAGACTTCTCAATAGCAACACTGGAAACAAGAAGCAATGGAGCAATACCTCTAATATTTGGAGGAAAGAATGATTTCCCAAGATCTCAAAAAACTTATCTCCCATGTCCTTTTTCTTAGATAGCAAGAAGAATATGTGTCTAATAGACTAAATGAAGACAGAGGAGCATTAAAGAAGTAGGAGAGAGGAATCCAACAGAAAAGAGAGGAAAAGATAATCCCCAGGTTGATAGTCCAGGGAAATCCCAGAATATAGGTTAAAGAGAACAATCAATTCAAACTGGACCAAGGGGACAGGGTACTTTTTCATTGTTTCATTCATTCATTATCTTTTTCATCATCATTTTCACCATTGCAATCTCATGCCAGTTATGATAGCACATAGAAAACCATGCAAAAAACAAATAAATAAGACATAACTATTAAGTGCTGAGAAAAAAAAAAGATTTCTCATAAAGGAGATGATATTCTAGAAAATAAAATAATTGGTACAGTTAATGCCACTTCTTTGACAATGACTCTAAGAGATAATTGATGGAAAATAAAACTTACCCACCAATCACAATGCTAGCCTTAAAAAGTTATGTATCTGGAGCAGACAATTTTTCATTTTCCATTAACTTTGTATCTTGTGCCCCAAATTATTCTTAATACCTTTTTTTTTTCCTTAAGATTATATATTTATTTGATAGAGAGAGAGAGACACAGAGAGAGAGGGAACACAAGCCAAGGGAGTGGAAGAGAGACAAGCAGGCCTCCCGCCGAGCAGGGAGACCAATGCAGGGCTCCGTGCAGGGCTTGATGTGGGGCTTGATGCAGCACTGGATCCCAGGACACTGGGATCATGGCCTGACACAAAGGCAGATGCTTAATAACTGAGCCACCCTGGCACCCCCTTAATATCTTTTTCAACCCCTGGATATATATGTTTAGCCTATTCCTCATAGTAGCAGGTGCTGTGTTATTATTAAACTATACCCAGTAATTCTAAAATCATCTAATTCAAGTTTCAAAGAGATGGGCCATAGTTGGGATATCCCAAGTTTAGTAAAGAAATATAGCACTTTTGCCCTCATGTCAAACTTCTTAATTACTTAACCTTTTTAAATAAGTAAATGATTTCCTTCTGATTTGGCACTTAAGATTATAATATAGTCATTTTCCTATGGCTCCATCTGAGCTCAGAGAAGACTTTTATGCCTTAACTAACTTACTTTACCACCATCTTCAATAATTTTCTCTTTGTCCCACTGCAATAGCCTACACCATATTAGGTGTTTTAACAGCCTATTTCAGTTTTTTATTACTTCATAATAATCTAAAAATAGCTTCTAATCCCTGGCATTCCTAATATTTTATCATAAAAGAGAAATATTTTGTGTTTCTCCTATGACAATGCCACTTTTTTATTCCTATTACTGAGTCGGTAGTTAATCTATAAATATGGCATTATCTTGTGATTATCAATAAACTTTCAAAATGTAAATTTTATCTACAAAATAATTAGGTAGACTTATTTTTTCTCTTCAAAAAATTCTATTGATAATCAGGGCCAGGATTCTGTTGCTTCCTAATCTTTACCTTGATTGTATAAATGGTATTTATTTATTAAGTATTTTTTATTTGAGGTATAGTGGACATACAATGTTATATAGTTTCACGTGTACAACATAGTGATTTGACAGTTCTATACATTATGCAGTGTTCGCCATGATAAGTATAGTTTCCATCTGTCATCACACAAAGTTATAACATTATTATTGACTATATTCCCTATTTAATCAAAACTGTACAAATATGTGTATTACTGAATCATGTCCTAAGTTTTATAAATTGTGAAAATTCTTTAAATTTTACAAATTGTGAAAATTCTTTGAATTTTACAAATTGTAAGGAGAAAAATAATAAGCTAAAGAATTGCTTGATCATCCACTTTTAAATAAATATCTCTCTGGAGTCAAAGAGCAAAATAGCAGCGACATTTTTACTTATACTCAACCTTTCATCTAAGAACATGTAATCTTTAAGAGTGACTATTACCCCCATTTTACCACCAAGGCATAGAAATACAAAGATTGAACTGAAGTGAACTCAAGAGGTTATCTAATCTAGGTTCTATCTCCAAGAATGACTGCATTTTAACGAGCTAAGAGATGTGTCCCTCTTCTCTAGTTTTCAAAATCTCCAGGGAAGATGTTACAACTTGCCTTAACAATTTACTCTGGTGTGTAATATCCCTTGTTTTACTCATAATCCAAATCTGAAGATAAGAAGGAAAAAAAAACCTGTTTTCTTAGATTTTCAGTAAACACTTACCCAGTTGTGGTTATAAAGTAACCACAAAAATAAGAAGAGGAAGAAATAGATATTTCAATAAGAACAATTCTCAGTATCTAGTCAACTATTCACCCGTTTCAAGCAACAGTCATTTTGAAAATACTCTGGCATGACAAAATGATTTATACCTATTGATTTCATAACAAATCTCTCCCTTTAGTAAAAGAAATAATTTCTAGTAGATGTATATTTATTAGTTCTAAAGATAAGAATGGCATAAATTTATTGGGAACTTTCTGGGTGCTGTCACTCCATGCATAAAACTATACTGAATTTTCCTATCATTTCTGTGAGATAGGCACTATTGTTATCCACATTTTTTAGATGAAGAAATGGAGGCTTGATGGGGCACCTGGGTGGCTCAGTTGGTTAACCAGCTGCTTTAGGCTCAGGTTATGATCTCAGGGTCCTGGGATCAGGCCCCGCATCAGGCTCTCTGCTCAGCAGGGAGCCTGCTTCTCCCTCTCTCTCTCTCTCTCTCTCTCTCTCTGCCTGTTTCTCTGCCTACTTGTGATCTCAATCAAATAAATAAATAAAATCTTTAAAAAAGAAAGAAAGAAAGAAAGAAAGAAATGGAGGCTTGGAGAAGGTAAAGAGTCCAAAGTCTCATAGATTCAATGACAAAGCCAGGATTAAAACCTGGACAGGTTGGTTATGTTTTACTGTCTCTCTAATATATATTTAATAAATTTTAGTTGGTATTATTAGCCTGCTTTGTAAAAAAAAATTTTTTTCTTCAAACTCCTATTAGTTCCTCCATATTTTTGTCAGATCAAAGATGATCTGGAAAATACACGTACCCCCTAAAAAACATGCATTTATATGACAAAATTTGTTTCTTAAAGTTTGCTTGATTGTTACATGATTTTTCTTAGACCGATCTACATTTGCTTTTAAAAATGCATGTGGAGGGGTGCCTGGGCACCTGGGTGGCTTGGTGGGTTGGGCCTCTGCCTTCGGCTCAGGTCATGATCTCAGGGTCCTGGGATTGAGCCCCCGCAAGGGCTCTCTGCTCGGCAGGGAGCCTCCTTCCCCACTCTCTCTGCCTGCCTCTCTGCCTACTTGTGATCTCTCTCTCTGTCAGATAAATAAAAATCTTTAAAAAAAATGCATATGGATACTTTTAAAAGGAATCCTAGTTATTTTCCACTTTACTTACTCATTCCAGAAGCAAGGATTCTTCTAGGTATTATTATTATTATTATTATTTTAAGATTTTATTTATTTGAGAGAGAACGAGTATATAAGTGGTAAGGAGGGCCAAAAAGAGAGGGAGAAGCAGGTTCCCCACTGAGCAGGGAGCCAGTTGTGGGGTTCCATCCCAGGACCCTGAGATCATGACCTAAGCCCAAAGCAGATGCTTAACTGAGTAAGCTACCCAGGTGCCCCTAAACTTATAATTTTAAAAATGAAAAGGAGAAAATTTTAGATTTGAAGCTAGATCAGATTGGCTTCAATCTAAATATTTTACAAAATATTATAACCAACTAGAATGTTCTCTAAGTGTAAGCATAACTTCTAACTAGGTAAATGGCCAACTGTATGTTAGCCAAAGAAATCTTGTTGCTTTATTAAGGTAATTTATGTTGTTACTACAGTAAGCATCCTTCTAAACAGCTGAAATTTTGCATTCTTTATAATACCTTCTTAATATTTCAGTTTATTAGTTGACACTGATATCTAAAAGAAAGAAACCAACACATTTCAAAAGCCATGAAAATTTTGAAATTTAATTTATATTTTAATATTTCATACAACATTACCTTTTTTATTGTTTCCTTTCCCACTGTAATCTCATGCCCATCTTGCCCCATGCCATTCTTAAAGAACAGAATTCGGACTGAGGTCTTTTCAGTAAGTCCCTTCATTCTAAGAGAAAGAACAGGTTTGGTTTTCTGTCTTTTAACATCAGTAGGAAGCATCAGCCCATTCATTGTCCAAGTTACTTTCTTCATTAACAACAGATGGTCTAGAAGAGAATTTTTTTTAAGTCAAGTCAATATTTGGCTTCAAAACTAGAAATGGACACATCATACTTCCCCTCCCCCCACCTTACCTATATCATATACACTGGCCAGTCTCCATTTAGATGCTGGTTTTCTGAAATGCTACCACCAGCTTTCCACTAACCGTGACATAAGCTGTAGCAAGCTGTCTGCTCTGATAGCCTGCATAAATCATCATTTCTGAAGGGAACAGATGTTCAGGGTATGAAAGAGTAATACCACAATTTAGTCCTAATTAAAATTCACCTTAGCATGCCTCTATCACTGATCCAATGCACTGGGCTGAAAGGGTCCACTGAAAGAGTCCAAGGTCCCTTACTTACTATAAAACAATATGGGTCTTGAACTTTTGTGTTCTTTAGGGTTGGGAAAATGCTTTTTTTTTCTCCTTAATATGATTTATTATCTATGTTGTTTTAAAGATGATGACCTCCAAAGAGTAACCTTATACATAATTCTTCTCCTGTGACTAGAATGAAAGTGCCTTCTAGGACATCTTGGTGAGAGAAGCAAAATATTTCACTAAAAGTGAAAACCAGCTCTGCATTAACAGTTTACTTTGACCTATACATTTTCAAAGATTTGTGCATAAATTTAAGTTTCAAAACTCCCACTCATATTAATGGGAGTGGAACTAAATTACAACGTATGACTTTGAAAATGTAAGAGGTAAGAACAGAAGTGTAGTATATTGCACAGAAAGGTTGCTATCAGCATTCCTCTCCTTTCAAAGGGTTCCATTTCATAAATAAAAAAATTTACACCTGGGTTTTTTTTTATTTGTGCATTTGATTTATTTTAGATTATATTTTCTTTTCACATAAATTATATAATTTATGTGATTTTACAATTACAATGATCTCTCTCTCATCTGCTCTATATTTGTCCTAATGAGAGAAATAAAATTTTATTTGCATACAATTGAAAATAGCTACATTTGTTTGCCTGAATTTCTAAATAATCCTTTATTAGCACTTACCTTGAAAGATGCATGGCCTCTTTGATCAATATGAAACACAAGCAAATAGTTCTGGGGACTTTGAGTCCCAGAATGGCTACATTAAATGTTAAAAAAACAGAAACACTGTCTTTCTCTTTCTCTCTTGTGTACATACATACTTACACATACATACATGCACACATACCTATACAGTAGGTAGAAATATGAGCAAACTTGCAGAATAAACTAAAACTAGATTATAGATATGAGTAAGTCTTTAGGAAGAGAAACATATTTTTACAGAAATTACTGTATTTTGTCATTTTGTAATCTAAAATTCACAGGAATTAGAATTAGAAAATAAGCTAGACATTAATGAAATCATATATCCCCAAAAGAACAGAAAACAGGAACTTAAACACATGTACATGCATGTTCAGAGCAGCACTATTCACAATAGCCAAAAGGTGTAAGTCAAATATCCACCAGTGGATGGATGGATAAACAAAATGTGGTATATACATGACATGGAATATTATTCAGCAAGGAAAAGAGTGAAGTACTGATATATGCTACAATGTGGATGAATCTCAAACTGTTATGAGTTATAATCCTCTGCTTTCTCTCCTATAAAGTATCCAATGGGCACCACTCCACTACCTGATGAAGATGAACTATTTTATATGTTAAAGTACCTAAAGCCTTGAAGGTACTCCATGAATATTGGCTTCTTCCCCCACATCTCAGAAATTATATGCTTATTGTGAAGGATTAGAGTATATTATGTATTGTTATGTCAGTCAGGGCCCAACCAGAGAAACAGAATCCACTACTCGATTTGAGCAGAGGGGACTGACTACAGGAACTGATTATGTAAGTAACGGAAAAGATGGCAAAGCAACCAGAGGACAGTGAGACAACCCAGAGACTGGCAAGAGCAAGAAACCACTCCCACACTGGGGCACCTGGCTGGTCAGTTGGTAGAGCATAAGACTCTTGATCTCAGCGTTGTGAGTGTGAGCCCCATGTTGGGTGTAGAGATTACTTAAAAATAAAATCTTAAAGAAATAAAGATGTTACAGGTGCCCAGATTTAGAGAATCTTACCAATAAGGGGTTTTCCCCTTTGCTGACTAAGACCAGGATCAGGATTAGGGTGAGACAATTGAAGGGTCAACAGTGCAAAACTGAAAGGAGCACACTCAGTTGTGCAAGTACACAACCCTCAGTAAGCTCCTCCTCAAATTTTGTCCTGTAGGTTCATCACTCATCTTACCTGAGTCCCAGCCTGGTTTCTCTCTAATCTATGTAGACTCTTTAAATTCCACTAAAATATTGCTATTAGCTGGACACTGTTTTACTGATATATAGATATTAATTCATGAAGTCATCTTAATAAGCTTATGAGGAAGAAAATATCATTATCTTCATTTACAGGTGAAGAAACTGAGGCACGGAGAACTTAAATAACTTGAACGAGTTCTTGGAAGGTGGTTGAACTAGGATATGAATTTAGTTCTAGAAAGTGTACACCTTTAAAAAGAAAAAAAAATTATTTAAGTAATCTCTACACCCTATGTGGGGCTCACACTCACAACCCAGAGATTAGGAGTTTCATGTTCCACATGGACTGAGCCAGCCAGCCACCCCTATACTATTTGACTCTACCATATATTTTATGCTGTTATCTCAAACAAAATTTCACATCTTTCCACACAAATTGGACATACTCCTCACATTACTTATTTTTATCAGTGTTTCTACTTCTTTCACAGTTGTCCATTATCTTAGGGAGATCTTGAACCCTTACCTCCTAATTTCTCTCCAACCATTGCTTAGTCATTCAATGACATATTTTGGGTGTCCATTCATCAATGCACCAGGGTGATAGTTGTGAACAGGACAAAATAACTTGTGCAGATTACAGCCCCTTTCCTTAAGAAACAGACAGGGCGCCTGGGTGGCTCAGTGGGTTAAGCCTCTGCCTTCGGCTCAGGTCATGATCTCAGGATCCTGGGATCGAGGCCCGCATCAGGCTCTCTGCTCAGCGGGGAGCCTGCTTCTCCCTCTCTCTGCCTGCCTGCCTCTCTGCCTACTTGTGATCTCTCTCTCTGTGTTTCAAATAAATAAATAAAATCTTTAAAAAAAAAAAGAAAGACAGACAGTGGAAGGTCTCTCTGAAGAGGTGACATCTGAGGGGAGAGAGAGGCTTGTACAATCAGAAGTTAGTCATGAAAATCTGGGGGAAAAGAGCATTCCAGGCAGAATAAAAATCAAGCACAGTCTCTGAGACGAGAATGAGCTTGGCGTGTTTGAGAAAGAAAAACAAAGTTTGGTTAGAGAGAGAATGTACAAGCCACAGAAGTAGAAAGAGGCCAGATTGTATAGATCAGGATAAAGGGTTTAGATTTTACTCTGGATGTAAAGGGAAGCTACTAGAAAGTTCCCAGCAGGACAATGTATGAAGAACAGACGATAGCAGGTAGTCTCCCCCACCAAATTCTTTTTATCAGGCAAGTGCACCGAAACTCTAGCTGCTGTGAGTCACAGCCTCTTAATACCTCACAACTGCATCCTTCTCTTGAGAACTGCCCTTGGCTAAAAGGAACCAGCCACTTAGCAAGAAAATTCCTGTGAGGTGATGGTCCCTTACTTCCTACCTAGGGGTCCAGCCCACAGCTAATGACTGGCTGACTGGGGGACATAATGGTCAGTCCCCTGGCCTTAAGGAGGGGCAACTCTGTGGTATGCTTCCCACTCTAAATTGAGGCTAGACTTCAGCTGAACACATGGTCCAAACTCTTCCTCTGTTCTGTTGCTTCCCTCACTAAGTCCCTCATACAAAAACCCCCATCTCAGGCTCTGCTTCTAGGGAACCTGATCCAAGACAGAGTCAAAGAAGAGAAAACTAACTCTTGGCTATCTTTCTTCTGAGTACTAAAAGCATTATTAAAAAACATTATTCCTTTCCATTCCCAGCCAAAACCTCTTGTCCATTTCCCTCTCAGTCTCCTATCATCTATAAGAGCTTCCTAATTGTATTTTATTTTCCACCATTATATCTGACATCCTATACTCCAATTATAGCTTAATTTTCCTAAAACATCAATTTTATCATTGCCTGAAGGGGAAGTTCTTGGAACTAACTTTTGAAGTTTCCATTAGTCAATCACCCAGTCTGTCAGGTAGTCAGTAAATACTTATTGAATCCATCTTATGTGTCAGACCCTGTGCAAGGAATATGAAAAAGACCCATTCTGTTGCTTAAATTTATGTTTAACAGAAGAGTTTACTGACAATCTGACACTCTCCAAACTTACATGTCTTTATCTTGTCCTAGTTTAAAGCACTTTTTTACCTAAGCCAATCTCTTCGTTATCCATTGAGAATCCCAAAGGCATTTTTAAGTCCATTCTTCACTCACCCAGACTCAAGTCCTTCTCAAGAACCAGTTTAAGATCTTCCTTTAGTGCTCCAGCCCACAACAACCTGTCTGTGCTCTGTCTGTGCTCTGAATCCTTAGAGCACATGCAGTCTATACCATTTACCCATATATTCATTCATTCAGTAATGTTTGAGAACATACCACATTTCAGGTCCTATCTTATATATTAAGGAAAGAACATAAATGATCTGGAATTATGTAAATATTTTATAAACATAGATCCTATTTCTCTTCCATACTTAACCCCATAGAAGGTAGGAATCAAGGCTATATTTATTATTACTTTGCTCCAGAGTGTATATAAGTTCACTGCACATAGTATAATTACTAGATGTTAATTCTTCCTGTGCATTTATTTAAATGTTCAACTGATAAAATTTAATTTTGTCACTTTATATAACATACCAGTTATACAAAATAAACTTTATTGCCTGTGTATAGCTATACCTACCATTTTTATTCTCTACATCCCCATTATGAACTTAAATATGACTGATATACCACCTTGATGCTCATTGATGACCACATGGTAGAGAATTTCTTCAAGAAAAGAAGAAACCTTCCAAGAAGAGCTGGTTT